CAGGAAGTTGACTGGTAGCTTCAGCTGTCTCCAAGTTATTACATGTGTCCCTGAGCATTAATACACTGTAAGGGGCTAGAGTTCAGAAAACAGAGAGCTTTATTGAGCCAGTAATTTTTTTTCAATATCCTGCCAGTTTCCAAAAAGGATTTGCAAGAGTATTGTGGTGAGTCACACATATAGTAGCATTCCTGACTTTGGGGAATGTTAAAGCCATTAGGGAAGATTAACCATACGCAAAGATTGAGGGTAAATTTGCTCCAAGTGTCCTGATAGCCCTAACAAAAAGAAATAAAAATTATGTATGATGCAAGAAAGCACCCTGGTTTATCTTCAGAGACTCAGTATTTCTTGGCACTAAACTTTAAGAGGAATGTCTCACCTAGATCTTTGTAAACACAGCGGTAGTGCACATGGGGAACCATACTTTACAAAGGCACATAAACATTCTTCATATGATTCATGGTTCCTCCTCTCTCCCCTCGACAAAAAGCCAAAGTTGTGATATGAATTATGATTCTATGAACATTTTTATGATAAAGTAATATGGTTTAACTTTTGATCTCGTGGACAAGGATTATCTGTGGCCTAGATGGGCCTTAGCCTTGTCTCTGAGTATTAGTGCTCTCAAAGCCTGTAACATCATACCTCTGCGAGTTTGCTCCTGTGAAAGATCAAATACCAAACTTAAATGGGAATATCAAGCCCCTAAGTTTACATTTTATATCTAAATAACTTGATGTTGCTCTTAGGAAAGTAAGACATGGACTCCTGCCCTGGCAAGAAAGACAAACGGGATTTTTTTCTTGGTTTCTGCTTCTGCTCTTTCATTGTTGGTGTACAAAAATGCCTTTGATTTCTGGATATTGACTTTGCATCCTACTTTTTTGCCAAATTAATTTGTTAGGTTGAGCAGTTTTTTGGTGGAGTCTATAGGATTTTCTATGTACATTATCATGTCATCTGCAAACAGTGACAGTTTTGTTTCCTCCTTTCTGATTTGGGTGTCTTTTATTTCCTTGTCTGATCACTGTGGCTAAAACTTCCAATGCCATATTGAATAGAAGTGGTGAAAGTGGACAGCCTTGTCTTGTTCCTGATCTTATTGGTAAAGATTTTAATTTTTGCCCATTGAGTATGATATTGGCTGTAGGTCTCTCATATATGGCCTTTATTATATTGAGAAAAGCTCCCTCTGTTCCTACTTTGCTGAGTGTTTTTATCATAAATGGGTGCTGTACCTTATCAAATGCTTTTTCTGCATCTATTGATATCATGTAATTTTTGTCTTTCCTTTTGTTTATGTGGTGTATTACACTTACTGATTTGAGAATATTGAACCATCCTTGCATCCCTGGGATGAATCCCACTTGGTCATGGTGTGTGATCTTTTTAATGTATTGTTGGATACAGTTTGCCAATATTTTGTTGAGGATTTTAGTGTCTGTGTTCATCAGCGATATTGGCCTGAAGTTTTCTTTATTTGTTGTGTCTTTATCTGGTTTTGGGATTAGGTGATGCTGGCTTCATAAAAAGAGTTTGGAAGTCTTCCATCTTTTTGGATTTTTGGAATAGTCTGTGACGGTTAGGAGTTAGCTCTTCCTTAAATGCTTTATGGAATTCTCCTGTGAAACCATCTGGTCCAGGGCTTTTGTGTGTTGGGAGATTTTTGATTACTGCTTCAGTTTCATCTGCTTTTATTGGTCTGCTCAGGCTTTCTGCTTCTTCTTCATTGAGTTTTGAAAGATTATATTTTTCTATAAATTTGTCCATTTCACCTAGGTTTTCAAATTTCTTGGCATATAGTTCTTCATAGTAATTTCTTACAATCCTTTGTATTTCTGTGGTGTCTGTTGTACTCTCTCCTCTTTCATTTCTGATTATGTTTATTTGGGTCCTCTCTTTTTCTTTATGAGCCTGCTTAAAGGCTTGTTGATTTTGTTTATCTTTTCAAAGAACCAGCTTTTGGATTCATTGATTCTTAGAATTGTGCCTTTAGTGTCTATGTCATTTAACTCTGCTCTGATCTTGGTTATTTTCTTCCTTCTGCTTGCTCTATGCTGTCTTTGTTGTTGTTCCTTGAGTTCTTATAGACGTAGGATTAGGTTTTTTGTTTGAAATGTTTCTGTCATTTTTAGGTAGGCCTGTGTCACTATGATCTTCCCTCTCAGGTCTGTCTTCGCTGTGTCCCATAAGTTGGGGTTGTTGTGAGTTCATTTTCATTTGTTTCCAGAAACTTTTTGGTTTCTTCCCTAATTTTATTCTTGACTCATTCATTGTTTAATAGCATTGTTTAATAATCAATCTCTATGATTTTGAGTGTTTGGGGTTTTTTTCCTTGGGGTTGGTTTCTAGTTTCAGTCCCTTGTGGTCAGAGACAATGCTTGGTATGATTTCAATTTTCTTGAATTTATTGAGCCTTGTTTTGTGTCTTGTCATGTGGTCTATCTTTGAAAACCTTTCATGTGCATTTGAAATGAATGTGTATTTTGCTTCTTTGGTATGGAGGGCTCTGTATATATCAGTTAAGTCCATTTCCTCTAGGGCATTGTTCAATGCTACAATATCTTTGTTGATACTTTGGAAGATCTGTCTATTTTTGACAGTGGGGTGTTAAAATTCCCTACTATAATTATGTTGCTGTCAATACCTTTCTTGAAGTCCTCTAAGATTTTCTTTTATTTATTTGGGTGCTCCTATGTTGGGTGCATATATATTTACAATATGTTTATGTCTTCTTGGTGAATTCTTCCCTTGAGTATTATGAAGTGACCTTCTGGGTCTCTCTTTATGGACCTTTTTTGGAAGTCTATTTTGTCTGATATGAGTATTGCTACCCTGGCTTTTTTTTCCTGTCCATTTGCTGGGAAAATTTGTTTCCAGCCCTTCCTTTTCAGTCTGTGTAGGTCTTTTGTTTTGAGGTGGGTCTCTTGTAGGCAGCATATGTGTAGGTCATGCTCTCTTATCCATTCAGCTATTTTATGTCTTTTGATTGGAGGATTTAATCCATTTACGTTTAAGGTTATTATTGATAGGTACTTATTCATTGCCATTTTCATACCTGTGTTCCCCTCTCTCTCTCTCTTTTCCTTTTCTTAAAGCAGTCCCCTTAGCATGTCTTGCAGAGCTGGTTTGGTGGAACTGTATTCTTTTAGACTTCTTTTGTCTGGGAAGGTCCTTATTTGGCCTTCTATCTTGATTGAGATCCTTGCTGGGTAAAGTAGCCTTTTTTGCAAGCCTCTGGTTCTCATTACTTGGAATATTTGTTGCCATTCTCTTCTGGCTTGGAGCATTTCCACTGAGAAGTCAGCTGCTAACCTTACCAGAGCTCCCTTGTACATTACTTCCTGTTTCTCCCTTGCTGCTTTTAAGAGTCTCTCTTTGTCTTGGTATTTTGCCATTTTAATTATGATGTGTCTTGAAGTGAGCCTCTGGGTTCCTCTTGTTTGAGACTCTCTGTGTTTTCTGGATTTGTGTGACTTTTTCTGTCATCAAATTAAGGAAATTTTCCATCATTACTTTTTCAAATAGGTTTTCTGTCCCTTGCCCTTCTTCTTCTCCTGGTATCCCTATTATATGTATATTATTACGTTTCATATTGTCTTGCATTTCTCTTAATCCCTCTTCATTCTTTCTGAGCCTCTTTTCCTTTTCTTGCTCTTTTTGGGTGTTTTTTTCTACTTTGTCCTCAAGCCCACTGATACGATCTTTTGCTTCACCGATCCTGCCTTTGATTCCTTCTGCTGTGTTCTTCAGTTCAGAAATTGTATTCTTCATTTCCTCTTGGCCCTTGTTGATAGTTTCTCTTCTGTTTTTCACATTGATATAGTTTGCAGTGAGTTCACTGTAGTTTCCCTGTAGTTTCTCATAGTTCATCGTGAGCTCATTGAGCTTCTTGATAATCATTGCTTTGAACTCAGTATCTAATAGTTGAGTTGCCTCTATTTCATTTAGCATACTTTCTGAGGCTTCCTCCTTTCCTTTCATTTGGGGACTGTTTGTCTTCTTATTGTTTTTGAGACTCTTCTTGTTAGCCTCTGCTTCTTAAATTGATCTGTTCTGGCTCTCTGGATTTATGGTGTGAACTCCTGTGGTAGAATACCTGTGAGATTCAGTGGTGCAGTCTCCTTGATCTCCCGAGCTCACTGGTGTTGGGCTGTCATTTAAGTTGGCTCTGTGTTTGTCTTTGGGTTTTGATGGTTGTTGGGTCTTTCTTTGGTGGGACCTTCCCACCACCTGGTTACCTGAGTGTCACTCTGTCCACCACCTCTTGTATTTTGTTGTGCTGCTGAGGGCAGGTTGTGTTTAAGCTGGTTCTTACGTGTGTACAAGGTTTTGAAGATTCTCTTTTGCTCTTGTTCAGTTGTTTGTTCTCAGTAATTTCTCTGCTATTTAGTTGTATTTCTAGATAGGTCCTGGATTAAGGTTTGTGTGGTTTCCACTCCCTCATTCACCTTCTATTGTTATCTGTTGGTGGTTCCTTTGTTGTTGGGTTTCCTCTTTCATTGGATAATTGGGTATCCTGGTGTTCACCGCTTCCACCTACTCTTTTTTGTCTGGTTTTTCAGTGTCTGCTACAAGTTTTGGTTTCCTATTTTCATATATGCTGATATACTGTTGGCTGTTTGCTGTTTTACTCCATAGATCATCTAGGATTTCTCCCATGCGTAGGGAGAAGTGGGATCTGCACCCTCCTACCCCGATGCCATCTTCTCACCTCTCTAGGCAACAGGAGATTTTAACCAGTAAGTTTTTCTTCAAGGTGTACCGAACTTGCTTATCCATCGTGTGTCTTGAAAGAAGGATTGAGGTGTTTTATTGGTAGTTTCATGCATGTTGTCTTCATTGAAAGGTCACAGCAAGAGGAGTTGTAAGACTTGATGGTGCAGGTGCAGGGCCAGATCACAATTAGCATTTCTTTTTGGTTGCATCCAGTTTGCTTGTCAGTGTGTAATTAACAAGGTGCAGCTCTGATGGCTGGTCCTTTGTGCTCCTTGCAGGACTGCACACGCCAGAGCCAAAGCTGATGCTGCGGACCAGGCTGCTCTGGCTGCCCGCCAGGAGAGCGACATTGCAAGAGCTGTAGCCAGGGAGCTGTCGCCTGACTTCTACCAACCAGGTAAGATTGCATTGTCCTGTGGTAGAAGAGGTAAGAGCATTGCCTCTGATTTCCTTTTTTTGATTATTTTCCATTTAACTGAAACATCTGTGCTTCATGAATCCCAGAAATACTAGAAAACAAGTGGCCACATAGTTATAAATTATTGGTAGTCTGAGTGTTAGCACTGGAGATTCCACTTATTCCCCAGTGTATCTCTTCCTGCCTCCCCATCCCCAGCAACAAACTTTGAGCTGATAGCAATAAAGGAGATGGAAATCCAGCTATCTTCCCTGATTCTAATAAAGTGTATGAGTGTTGAGTGACCAATGCAGATGCTGTAACAAATACCCCAAATCAGAGGCACTAAGAAAGAACCAGAATTAACCATATTTTTTTCAATGTGCCTGAACTAAAGCTCACAGGAATGTGGTTAGGAGATACAGAAGCATACCACATAAAGACAAGTGACTCATTACAGGTTGAGATGACAGTGTATGTTCTCATGGATAAAATGAAAGTGACAACCTCAAAAAATAAAAACCAGCCCTGGTTTTCTGCCTCTCAAGTGTTTTAAAACAGCAATAAGCATACATTTTCAGTAGGTTTAAATACTGAAGTCACATTCTAGTGGTTTCCAACTAGACTGTCTCCATCCCTTTCTGTAAGACACTGGTATTAATAAAATGTCAGTAGCCATTTTTATGTGTGTTTCTCCACTGTTTTATAAAGGATATCTTTCTGGTGATTGCTTGAAGGCTCAATAGATTTCTAGGAGAAGAGACCAAAAATGTTCTAAATTTCTAAATATCAATATTTATATTTTCTTGGTAAAGAACTTTTCCACATCATTTTCTGTTAAATCTAACTGAATAACCAACATCCTGCACAGCATATATGTTCAATACACATTTGGTTCCAGAGAAGGTGATAGAATATTGGGACCCACAGGGCATTGCTGTGACAAAATGAATAAGGTAAGCCACAGTATACGGAATAGCAAGGTCCATATAAAAAGCAAGAACTCAGCTGTAACAAAGGATGGAGGAGAGAGAAGGAAATTTTTTTTTCTGCAAGGAATGAAGACAGTAAAAGGCCAAGTAAAGAAGATCCCATTTTTATGGAAGAGGCTGGGGCAAAGCCCAATCTGGTTAAGTGATGGAGTTGCTGCAGAGTAAGTGATTTCTGAAATAGTTCAAGGGAGGCAGCCAGTTATAATGGGTGTTTTCCTTTATGTGCATTATTTTAACCCTCTGGCTGAGATTGAAATCATTTAATATGTATGTTTATTTTGTCAGGAAAGGGAAACTTTGCAACTTTTATGGTAACTAACCTCAGGTACGAAGAAACTATTTTCTGGTGTGACATGAACTCTCTTCACTGGTATCTGAGTACATTGGCAAACTACCTGTTGTAAGGTGTGGGAGCTAGAACCAAGAGGGACTGTCACATTCCTGCCCTGCAGGGCTGACATTGTCAGGATACCACACTGCTCAAGAACCAGTAGTGACTGAGCTGCTTTAAAAGCAAACAAACTTCCTATTGTTGTCTGTGAATGCTAATTCCTGGATTCTGTTTTTAATGGATTCTGTTGGGGAATGGGGTCCCTATGGATTTTTATTAGGTGCTACCAAGAGATAAATGGTATTGAAGGTTATCTCAGTTTCCAAGACAAAATGGTTTTAAAAGCCTTTTATGGTATAAAAGCATTTGAGGGATAAAAAATATTGTGGGAAAATGTAATCCCACCCTTTCTGAGTGAAAACAGCTTCATGGAAGCTAGTTGTCACTCAGTAATGAATGCATCCCTGTAGCAGGATATGACAACAATGGCTTTATTTGAGACAAGAGCCAAATTAGGGGGTGAGGGTGGCTGTCATCCCCTTTGACCCACAACCAGCACTTCCTTCAACAACTGTCTAGAAGGTCTTTCTGTGCTGAGTGTTATTGATCTTGTTGAGGGAGCATAACCCATGCTTTCCCCTGTGCATTACAGGGTGAGCAAATCAGACATGTCTAAAAGGGTTTTCAAGTACTTTTTAATTTATATACTGCAGATATAAATGATTCCCTTGTTGGGAATGCATGTGTCATGCAGACAGAGCTGACACTTTGATCACTTCCATGGTAGGTTAACTACTTCAAGACTGGGCAATATTCTCACATGTTTACCATCTTTGTTAAATCTTATGCTTTTAGTTCAATACTGTATGATTCCACAGTTCAGTTAAAAACTAAGGAAATACAGTCTGTGCCTGTGGGATGCCTCTGAGTAAAGGGTTAAATTCTAATAAAAAAAAACATACAAATGGGTGTGAGTGTGTGTAGGTGACTACATATGCACACAGAAAAATAAACTGCCATGAGCATGAGTGACACAGAAAGTCATCCCCCAGAAGTTTAGAGAAAGGTTACCCTCTGAGAGCTTAATTTTAAAATAAACCCATAATACTGCACAGAGATATATGAAGTGCTCAAAAGTGATAACCTGGGTTTTAGTGTTGCAAGATTTCCATTAAACCTGATTGAGTGTATTAAACACTATAGAAAAAAGTCATAGAGGCAAATTTTGGCAGCACCCATCCAAACACTATCCAGAGGAGAGAGGAGCCTTGGCCACAACGTAAGATAGAATGCAGTGGTTGTACTGGAAGGACATTTCTATTATGGAGAAGGATGCAGTCAACTGTGTGTGGCTTTATTGGCAAGATTAGCCCACTGAGGAATTGGCCGCATCAGACTAGCTGAGGCTCAGGCCTTCAGAAATTTGATTCATCTTGTGTTTCATGTCCTAATTCCATGTTCACCAGCAACCTCCTCATTTTAGTTGAACTTCTGGTGCAGGTCAACCACAAGGAGAGCATGCATTCACTGGTGGTATCAGTACAAATTCCATGGCCTATGTGACATTAAAATTGGTTGTTATAAAATAATGAGTCAGCCTTCTGGTGTTCTGCATCAGTCTTGTGAGGTTTGGTGGCATAAAAGTCTGCCCAAGGGATCACTCTGCTTCAAGTGCAAGTGAAATCAGATTGCTAAACCAGGATAGGTAAGATGAGACTTCAAGTGGTCACTAAGGAAGGGGGAGTGGGACATGGTGACAGCATGATCAAGAAACTATGTATGTATGGTTGTTTCTCTCACTGTTACAATTTCCTTTTAGTCAAGATACTTACTTTGTTTTTAATGTTAAATGGTATTGAGTATAGAATTTTTATGTTTATCAATTGTGTGAGTGGTAGAGCATGGGTTAAAAAAGACTAAGAAACACTGTTCTAGAATGCAGCAAATGTATTACGTACAGCAAGCCTCTCTTCAGAGATAGCAAGCCCATTATACAGATAGGTAGAAAGCAAACCCATTATACAGATAGGTAGGAAACAGAACAGAAAGGGGTGGCCTCCTCTGCATTTCTTCCCAAAGATGAGAGTAACTAGGGAGGTGGGGAGACATCTCCCCACTTGTTTTCAAGGACAAGAGGTAGGTAAGGAATGAATGTGGGTTCTATAGAGGCATTTCCTCACTTTTTTCCAAGGATGAGAGTTAAGTAGGAAAAGAAAAAAGTGCTAGAGAGACTTCTCCTCAAGGAAAAGAGGAAAGGAAAGGAAAGTGGTAATGGAGAATTTTCCCCAATTCTTTGCAAGGATGATAGGTAGGTAAGAAGGGATATGGGTGCTGTGGGGACATCTTCTCACTTCTTTCAAAGGTAGGTAGACAAGAGGTAGGTAGAAAAAGGAAAGAAAGGTTGGTGCTAGTGAGAGTTCTCCTCACTTCTTTCCAAGGAGAAGAGGTTGGTAGAAAAAGTAAAGGGAGGTGTGTGGTGGACAAAATTCTCCCCACTTCTTCAAAGGATGAGAGGTAGGTGGGGAAGGGAAAGTAAGGTGATGCACAGGAGACTTCTCCCTCTTGTTTTCAAGGATGAGAGGAAGGTAGAAAAGGAAAGGGAGGTGGGTGCTGGGGAAACTGCTGTGCTTCTCTGCTGAAGGACAAGAGGTAGGGGAAGGAAAGGGAGCTGGGTGCTTTTTCCTACCTTGCCAGGTTCCAGTAAAAGCCTTCTTCTCCCTGAGTTTTTACTTGGTCTCTCTTGGGTGCATGCAGGGAGAGTGACAGAACTCTGCTGTCTTCCTCTTTTTGTAAGAACCCCATAAGGGTTTCACAGCCATGGTATGATCTAATCCTACTTACCTCCCAATGGCCACACCTCCAAGTATCATCAGAAGGCGGACTTATGGCTTCAAACTAGGGATATGGAGAGCACACATTCAGTCCATAGTAGCATGTATTTGCAAACACACAGTAAATTTATTACTTTAAGTAAAAAATGAAGTCTTTGGCACAGGTTACTTTGGCATAGGTTACTATGGGCCTACATTCATAGTTCTGTTATAAATTAGAAGTCTCTAGAAAGAAGGGATCCAAGATGGCAGTGGAGTACATGGAAGTTAAACTCACCTCTTTCTAGGACCAAACTGGAATTAAAACTAAAATGTACAGCAAGCATCCTGAATAACCAACTGAAGACTAGCTGAAGAGAAGTCTTATAACCAAGGATTTACAGAAGAAGCCACATTGAGACTAGTAGGTAGGACAGGGAGAGGGAAAAAGGCTGGCTGTGCTCCCACAGGTGGCAGCTGAGGTTCAGAAGGATATTTCAGCTATATGGTGTGTGGGGGCTACTCCCCTGAGGAGTGAGGGGTCTCAGTTTTAAGCCAGGCTCCCCAACCCGGAGTACCAGGAAGAAGCACCCATATAACATCAGGCTGTGAAAATCAGGAATTCTGTCCACCGGGAATAGATGGGAGTCTCCTAGAGACATAAGTGCCCTGTTAAAGGGCCAATGCACAAAATCTCATTCATAGCCACTCACCCTGGGCTCTGGCAAAGGGAGAGCAGAGAAGATTAGAGTTGTGTGAGAAGACACTGGGGTTTGTGGCTCTGGGAAGACAGCTGAAGGGATACCTCCAGGATCCCTGTTCTAAGTCATTCTCCCACACCTCAGACACCATCAGCCTGGGGAATGC